TCCCAAGCTGGTACTTCCCATTCTTTCAACGCTTCCAAAACCTACCAACYATCCTGTCCTCTTGCCTTGCCCATGTTTTTAACAATCCCAGCAGACCAGGGTCTGCCTTTCCACAAGCCCCTTCTCCAGCCTGATCCACTGGATCGTCCTATGCCTGCTGAGACACCCAAATGTCCTGCAAAAATAACAAGGAGAGCAAGACCTGGAGCACAAATTCCATGGAGAGCAGCTGAGGAAGCTGGGGGCGGGGGGGATCAGCCTGGAGAAAAAGAGGCTCAGGGGGGACCTTTTGGCTCTCCASAACTCCCTGACAGGAGGGGTCAGCCAGGTGGGGGTCAGGGAACGAAGGACAGGACAAGAAGAAACRGCCTCAAGCTGTGGCAGTGGAGGTTCAGGTTGGATATTTATGGAAAGGCTGGCCAGGCACTGGAACAGTTGCTCAGGGAAGCAATAGAGTCAGCATTCCTGGAATTGTTAAAAAAACATGTGGATGTGGCATTTGAGGTGGACCTGACAGTGCTGGGGGAATGGTTGGACTTGATGATTCTAGAGGGCTTTACAACTTTAACATTCCTATGATTCCAAGAACTCTGATGAAAAGCAGAGGCCTAGGGAAGAGACACAGGGATGCAGCATAGAACCCTGCAGCAGGGACATATTAGAGACCTGGAGCAGCCCAACYGAAGCCTTTGGGAATGTGCAGCTTCTCCTGCACAAGCACATCCATCCACTCTGTATTGGAGATGGCCAGGGACGATTTTTTTGTGTAGAGGCTGACCTGGAACCATGGAACAACAGAATATCCTGAGCTGGAAGGGACCCACAAGGATCAYCCAGTCCAACTTCTGGCCCTGCACAGGACATYCCAACAATCCCACCTTGTGCCTCAGAGCRTTGTCCAAACACTCCTGCAGCTCTGGCAGCCTYGGGGCYGTGAWCATTCYCTGGGGAGCCTGGGCAGTGCCCTATTGSCCTCTRGGGAAAGAACCTTTTCCTGATATCCAGCCTAAACCTCCCCTGACACAGCTCCAGCCGTTCCCTTRTGTCTTTTCCCTAGTCCCAGAGAGCAAAGATCAAATACTCCTTTGGAGGAGCTGCAGCCTGGAATGAGCTTCGCCCTCAGCCTCTTMTGCTCCAGCTGAATAAACCTGGATAAAAGGATCAGTCACTCCATAAAGTGCTGCAGAAGCACCTGAAACATCTCAGGGCAGGCACCTCTCCCTACAGATGACAGCCCAGAGGAATAGGGCCTCCAGATTCTTAAATTATCCACATGCATGATGGCAGCCAATGCCAGCAGCAAGGCAACAACTCCCAAACCTCAAAATCTGAGTGATATCCCAAAAAAATCCTTCCAGAAACATCCCATGGCTCAAAGCCATACAACCCCCTCAGGGACAGCATGCTAGGAACTACTGGATGGCAATTAGCAGTCCCTCATGGATACACTGAGATCCATGGACAGGGATCTCAGCTTCCATCCCAGAGCTACTCATTACTCAACAGCCTGAGGAATCCCTAAGAAATGGGGAAAGTCCAGAGAAGCAGAGCCACCAGAAGGAAATCACCGCAATCCAGCTTTGGGAACMTTCTGTCCTTCTCCTGCCACCTTGTGGGAAGGGAAAGAACCAGAAACAGAGTTTTCTGCCACAGTGAGGCTCCCAAGAGTGCTCATTATTCATTTTAACCTTTGTAAGCAGCATTTTGTCCATAAACCATGGCTTTAGCTGCCCAGAGAAACCAAATTTTTAGGTAAATCCATCTTTGGAAAGTCATACCACCAGATGTGCTCCCTGAAAGCCCAACAGATACCCAAAATTTTCCCAAACTCCTGTATTTGCTGCCCCAAACAAAGCCTGAATCACCAAGGAACTCTTCAAGTTGMGCCATCACCCCCAATTTTACCTTAGAGCCAGGATAACACAATCCATAAAAGGAGTTAATGGTGACATGGGCTATGAGCAGCACTGAAAGTGCAGGAGAAGACTGAAGAAAACCAAGAATTAAACGCAGCAAAAGTGATCCCAGAGTTTGAAAATAAATTATTTGAAGTTAAATAAGTGAAATCATTTGTTTAAACAAAACAAAATTAACGAAGCTGTGAGGGGCCCTAAGCAACCTGGTCTAGTGGAAAGTTAGGGTAATCTGACCCTAAACCCAACTCTGCCCATGGCTGGGGTTGGAACCAGATGAGCTTTAAGGTCTCTTCCAACCCAAACCATCCTGGGATTCCCAGAATAAAGGCAGTAAAAGCAGACAATAACCTCTAAATCAATTACAAATCTGTTCTAACACCTCACTGACACTTTTAGAATCTTCTTAAACAACAAACCACTGAGAATTGCCTGGGAACTCCCTGTGGCTCAGCTCTCCAGGAAGCTTTCCAGACCAAACACCTGCCAGTGCATTTCTGGGGCCTGCACTCCAGAGGGAAGGTATTACCCTGCTGCAGCTGCAGCCGTGCCAGCTCCAACCTAAGCTGTTCATTYTCCTTCTCATACTCAGAGGCAATGGCATCCCGCTCTTCTGTCAGGGTACGGACGTGCCCCACATAGCTTTCCACCTGGAATAAAGAAAATGCAGTTATTCCTGTGTCTGTCAGCACCTCCACAGTGAGCCAGCAGCACAAAGAGCTCTCCACCCCATCAAGTTTACAGGATAACCTCAAATATTTGCAGAACAAGATGTCTTATGCTTTGGAACACTTGGGGATGGCAAAACCTTTACTGGGAGGTCAGGAGGTCTGGAGTGGATGCAKCTATGTGGGTGCTGGGATGTGGAGAGCTTTCAACCATGGCTCTGTAGGAGCTGCWGGGCTCACCAGGTGCTTTTTGATGCCCAGCATAAGGAATGGAGACATAAACCCCGAGTTCCCAAGGGCAGCAGTGTGGCAGTGACACCCTGAACCTGCTGCTGCACAGAGGGGGATGAGGGAATGCAGGCCTATGTGGATTAACCCAGGGGATATCCCAGAACCACCGAAGTTGTAAAAGACTTCCAAGARTCCAGCCTGTGACAAAACTCCACCTTGTCACCAGASCAGAGCACTGAGTGCCACATGGAGYCATTYTCTGGACACCTCCAGGGATGGGGATGYCACCACTACCCTTGGCAGTCCCTCCCCATGTCCAACCTGAATCTCCCYGGGCACAACTTGAGGCCATTCCCTCTGTGTCCTGTCTTTTGTTCCCTGGGAGCAGAACCCAGCCTCCACCTGGCTGTATCCTCCTCTCCCCTGTCAGGGAGTTTTGGGAGAGCAAGAAGGTACCCCCAAGCCTCCTTTTCTTCAGGTGAGCCCCGCCAGCGCCCTCAGCCGCTTCTCAGCCGCAGATCCTTCCCCAGCTCCGTTCCCTTCCCAGGACAGGCTCCAGCCGGGCCCGCTGTCCGACCCTTACGTCTCTCATGTCCTGGGCACGCCGCCGCTCCAGCTCGCCCAGCCGGGTCTCTGCTCGCCGCAGCAGCCGCCAGGCCAGSCCCAGCTGCTCCTCGGCCGCGGCCGCGGGGTCGGCGCCCTCCGCCCGCAGCCAGCATCGGATGGTGTCTGCCGGCACCGGGGGCTCCGCCTGCGGGGCAGCCAGAGGAGCCGTGAGCGATGGGGTAAGCGCGGTACCCCGACACCCTCGGGCCGATCCTGAGTGCACAACTGACCCCCCGAACTCCCCCCCAGTCCTGGCCGGTGCCGAGGGTACAGCCCACACCCCGAGCCTCCCCTGGGCCGGTCCCGGGGGTGCAGCCGGCCCCAGAGCCCCCCGGACGCACCACAGCGGCCGCTCCGTCCATGCAGTGTGACCCACGGCCCGGCGCCATGGCAACAGGACACGCCCCCTGATGCCGCCACGCCCCAATTCCCAGCGTGGTGAATGGACAGTGTGAGGCCACGCCCCCACCCCAAACGCGCGCAGAGCCAGGGAGACCACGCCCACCACCGCTCCGCGACGCCCCCTGGCGGCCAGCAGCGGGCACAGCGCCGCTCCCGCCGGGGTCAGCCCTGGGCGACCCAAAGAGGCCAAAAACCTGAACGAAAGAGGCAAASAATTTTCCTGATTTTGTCCCAAATCCCAAGTGAATCTGCTGAAGCTGAAGGGGCAAGTACAAGGAGCCGACTCTGGAGTAGAGAAGGCTTCAGGGAGACCTTAGAGACCATGCCAGTTCCTTCAAGGGAACTGCAGAGGGACTTTGGACAAGGACGTGGAAYGACAGGACAAGACCAGATGGTTTTCCACTGCCARAGSGCAGGGTTAGATGGGATTTTGGGAAGAAATTCTTGGCTGTGAGGGTGGGGGGGTGCCTAGCACAGGCTGCCCAGAGAAGCTGKGGCTGCCCCATCCCTGGAAGTGTTCCAGGCCAGGTTGGACAGRGCTTGGAGCAACCTAGGCTGTTGGAAGGTATAATGAGACGAGCTTCCCACCGAATGATGCCATGAGATTGATGAACTGCAGARCAAAGTGGGTCCATCCTGCAGAACTGACTCACTGACTAAAGACACTGCACAATGGGATGGTAGAGAAAGGAGAAGGCCARGAGATGGAGAAGAGGGACATGGCAGAGTCCAGCGAGGACCTTCCACTGAGCCCTCTGGTATCCTCAGAAAGCAAGACAGATCCTGGACCTGCAGGAGCCACTTCCAAYTTAGGCACCACAACTACAACCAGCATTTGCAGAGGGCTGGTGCCCRAACACTGCCAGGGTGGGAGCACTTSTGGGCTTGGTTTAATCTCCCACATGGAAAAGGAGCATCCCCAACATGGGATCAGGATGGCTGTGGCTCAGTTTGAGCTTAAAGAGTCTCCCCAACCTGCGCTTCACAAGTAGGGGCAGACACAGCTCTGAAAGCCTACGTGTTCCCAAGTTCAGCACAACCCAAAGACTCCCAGGGCCCACTGCCCCAGTCTGCTCCTCAAAAAGCTCAGATTATTCCTCTCCTTCCCAGCCTCACAGAGAAATCCCAAGACACCGCTTAAGGCCCACTGGTGGCATTTCTCCCACCCCTTGTCCCAACACTCCTGCAAGGGCAYGTTCAACTTACACAAGTTTTTATATCCTCATCCCTGCTGGCCCATTGATGTCCACAGAGACTCCAAACTAAGACATGGGAAATCCCAGACTTGACATTCCCATTGATTACATACTGGGAGATGAAGACAGGCAGTTCTTGGAGCTTATTCACCTTCCCTATCAGTCCTGGCCACAGAGAAGTTGTGAGTTCCTCGTCCTGACTCTCTTAGAACTCTCCCCTCCACACCAACCTGGACTTCTCCCATCACTTGTGCTCATTTCTTRCTCTTTGGGCTTTATTTTCCTTGTTTTCTGTGCACACCTCACTTTCAGGTAATTGGTATTATACAAAATCACTGCTGCCTCCTGAACACTCAGTGGTTTTACCCAGAGCACAGTCTCACCTCTGGAAAGGCTTTCAGCATTCCATGTACTGTTGTCTTTCCAGGATCCCTGTGAATTTATTTTGAGGACAGCCCATGAGCAGACACACAGCGGACAACAGGAGAGCTGCAGTTAAGTTTTTACCACAAAATTGCACATTTTGTTTCTTGCAGGCACGAAGAACACAYGCTTTGAAGTTGGTAATCATTGGAAGAGGGTTTAGACAAAATCAGGAACATTCCAGTTCTAACTCCATACAGCCAAGAGGAAGCTTCCCCTTCCAGGGTCCATCACTGCCACCCCTTCTGCTGTCAGAGAATCATGCAATCCTTAAAGTTRGAAAAGCCCTCCAAGGTCATTGAGTCCAACMATTCCCCCAGCATGMCATGTTTACCCTAAATGGTGTTTCCAAGWGCCACATCCACACTATTTTTGAACAAGGGGTGGTGACTCCACCACTGCCCTGGGCAGCCTGTKCCAGCACCTGAACACCTTTCCATGAAGGAATTATCCCAATATCCGAACTAAACCTCCCCTGGCACAATTTGAGGCYRTTTCCACTTGTCCTCTGGGAGCAGAGCCTGACCCCCACCTGGCTGTCCCCTCCTGTCAGGGAGCTGTGGAGAGCCAGAAGGTCCTCGGAGCCTCCTTGACTCCAGGCTGAACCCCCAAGTTCCCTCAGCTGCTCCTGGTGCTTCAGACCCTTTCCCAGCTTCATTCCCTTCCTAGGACACCTCCCCCCTCAGGGCCCCCTCCTTTTCTCCAACCTTGGCCTCAAGCACAGATCCATCCCCTGTGCTCCGTGCAAGATGTGGCCTTGCCTTTGTTTACAGAGCTCTGCAGKGACACTTGAGCCTTGTTTGGTGAAAGCTGCCCAAACACAGCCGTGGAAAACTTCCTGGTGTAAATGGAATATGAAGCAAAGCAACGTACAAATACCATCTGGGATGGAAGGAAAACCTTTGAAACAGCTGCTTTAGGCATGCTGCAGCACCTGAACTGTAGGAAAATGGGATCCCCCCTGGGATCTCTCCTGGCACAAGAGCTGCTCCCCAAAATAGCTGTCACCACATTCTCCTTTTTACCACTCTYGTTTCACCACCCACTCTCAATCAGATGATTCCCTACTCCAGTCATAAACCCAGCATATCCCTCCTGCAAAACCCCATTCCTTCCTCCAGCCATTCCACAAGAACCTTCAAAAAGGGAGACTCAAGAAATTCTTTATATACAGAGACCTTCATCATTTCTCCTCCTCCCAGTTCTCCCAGCCCACTGGACAGAAAACAGCTCCTTTCCTCCTTTATGAAGGAGGACAAATATCCTTTGGAATGGTTTCAYTTCCATGTATTTTTCTTTCACAAAGCCACAGTAGCCATGGCAAAGCTGTAGAAAAGTGACACAGTGYTGGACGGCCCTCCTTAGTGTTCCATGGGGATTGGTTTATTTACCTGGACAGGGAATCACTCCAGTCCCACTCCCTCTCCTGTACAATTCCCTTGTTTAGTCCGAGCTGCAGCTCAGCCTTTCCTCTCTATAAAAGCCGTGTGCTTGCCCTGGAGGTAACTCACAATCTTCTCCTCTATTTCCATGCCTTGTGCTATTTCTTCGTCAGACAGGGATAAGGGAGTCTGTGAGTCCCTGGTGACAATGATGACAGAGGTTCTSCGGGATTCCAGGACATTGGCCACCACCACCTGGTGTCGGTATTTCTCCAGAGCCTGCCGAGATTTRTCCAGAAGGATCTGGGGATCTGTCTCCAGTTTGAAGGAAATCACAAAGGCCTCGGGGGCCCAGTCTCTGACCAGGGGTGACAGCATTTTTGGCACCATCTTCATTGTGATCTGCAGTGGGAAAAGGCAAAAATAGCATCAGTAAAAACATTACAGGGAGTTTTAATAGGAGATGGGATGGAAGAGAGGGAAATTCCAGTTTTGTTTCATGTTCCATTTACACCAGGAACTTTTCAAGGCAGTGTTTGAGCAGTTCTTACCAAACAAGGTTCAAATGACACTGTAAATTCAAATTAAATGATCCATGTGGTGCTCAAAATCAGGGGGTTCTGATGCCAGACCACAGGAACTCTGCTTTACCAGAACTAACCCCACTCTGGGAATATAAACATGAGTACAGAAGATTTAAAAAAAAAGAAATCTGAGTTTTCAGCTCTCCAGAACCCAGGCAGTTAGTCCCATCTTCACCTTTCCTTCTATCAACTCCTTAACATATCAAAGTGCCAAAGCATGGGGAGAAAAAGCAGGAGACTGTTCTCCAGCTTCCCCACCTCTGGATCCATCCCTGGGAATCATATCGGGTCACATGTTTCTGATGCTAATGATAAAGAAGGAAGCCCAGCAACTTCTTAGAAGGTAATTAATTAAATAAATTTGGTATTTGTTATATAAAGAATTCCAGAGCCACCTGCTCCCACTGCCAAGTGGGATTTAGTGCAGCAGTGTTGCCTGTCATATGCACAAGCAGGAAGAATCCCAGAGTTATGGAATGRTTTGGGATGGAAGGAACCTTAAGTCCTATCTCATACCACCTCCTGCCATGGGCAGGGACACCTTCCACTATGCCAGGTTGTTCCAAGCCCCACCTTGGGGTGGCTAGGTGGCTAGGTGTCCTAGGTGTCCTAGCCTTGGACACCTCCAGGGATGGGGCAGATAGAGCTTCTTAGAGCAACCTGTGCCAGGGCCTCACCACCCTCACTGGGAAGAATTTCTTCCCAATATCCAATCCGACTCTATTCTGCGAGTTTGAAGCCATTCCCCCTTGTCCTGRCAYTCCAGGTCCTWGTCCAAAGYCTCTCTCYATCCAAAMGGCAGCAACTCAAGTACTCCAGAAACTATTCCTGGAGCACGCCAGCTCTCTGAGACGCACCCTCTCCTCATTYCCATGGAAGCACAGGCAGCTTTAAAGGACAAAGCCAGAAAAGCAGGAGGACCTTAGGGGCCCCTCTTCACGTGCCACACCACAACTGCAGATGTATTGAAGCTGATTGCTGTAAGAGCAGCACTGACCGCCCTGCAGATAACCCACAGCACCACTCACCCTSTCATTCCATCCTAAAAATAAACTTGGATCAAAGGAGAGTGGGGCTGACCCTGTCCTGCCCTCTTATCTGGGACCYTAGGTGCAAGATAAGAACAGAACAAAGCAACTCCAGGATTTTCACAGGGTTCACCCCCTCCCATCCCTCTGACAACACAACCAAGCTGCTGCTTTGCAGCTTTCCCAAGGTTTTATCCATAGCCAGCTCTCAAGAACAGGATCCTAGGAACAAGGAGGGTATGGCTAAGGGGGGTAGCAGAGGGGGCCATGCCAAGGGGAGCCTCACCTGCAGGGGCCCCTCCGAAGACTGGATCTTGTGCTCCGGCATCTCGGAGGCCGGGATGTAGAAATCTGACACAGCGGCCGCCAGGTAGAACATGACACTGGAGCCTGTGGGAACACGACTGCTGTCCCCCACTGCCATGGCCTTGCCTGTCACCCCAGAATCAGTCGGGCTGCCACCCACACACACCAAACAAGRCCCCCTTCAGGGACCTCTCAGCACCATCCTGAGCAGGGCAGCACTGACCCCACCCTCAGGYCCCCTCAGACACGCTGTTCTCCACTGGGGTCTGCCTTGTCCCCTCCTGCCAAGCCCCAACAGCCCACAGGGACAGCCCAGACCCTCATGATGAGATCCAGGAGCCCTCTAAGCAAGGGAGCCCCCGTGTCCCCTCATGCCAGAGTACCAAAGGCTCTGGGGTCACCTCATACCTGGGGCCACCGCAAGAGCATTGTATCATCTCRCCCATACCGGGGACCTCCTTTCCCCTCGACCTTTCCTCTCACAACCATCACATCCCTTCGTTCTTGGCCCTCCTGTTCTCTCCCACTGCGGATCCCTATGAGAGCTTTATCCTTTCCCGTCCTGAACCTTCGCCCAGGACCACCTTGTTCCCTTATTCCTGAGCTCCCTCACACCAGAGACTCCTATGGGGGCTTCATCCTCTCTTGCTTTGTGCCCTACGAACCGGAGGCCACCCCGTCCCTCATTCTTTGGTGCCCCCGCTTCCCCCGTCCCCTCACGCCCGGSCTTCCCCTGTACCGAGGGGCGCCAGGGCTCGGGCGGCCGCGCGCAGCAGCGCCATGTACTCGGCGAGCCCGGTGAACTCGATGGCGAGCAGCGCGCCCGTCTCAGTGGCGCGTTGGTACTCGCGGAGAGCGGGGAGAAGCACGGGCAGCGCGGCGGGGTCGGCGGCCACGCCGGGCGGCGGTCCCGGGGTGAGGCGGAGCGCGTCGAGCAGCGCGGGGCCGTGCGGCGGCAAGGCGCGGGCCCAGGGGAAGGCGGAGCGGGCGCGGTGCAGGAAGCACACGCCGTACCCGGCCCGGACGAGCCGCTCGGCTGAGGCGGCCCCGCGCCGGCCGCTGCTGAAGTTCTCCAGGAAGCGCACGGCGCGCGCCTCCAGCGGCACCTGCGTCCCGCCCGACGTCACCAGCGCCACGCGCCGCCCGMGCGCCGCCTGCGCCGCCGCCCAGGCCCGCACCCGGCCCTCAGCCGCCGCCGCCTCCGCCTCGTTCTCCTCGTCCTTCTCCTTCGCCACCGGCGCCGCCGCCGCCATGTCTGACGCGCCCAGCCCGCCGGAAGTCACGTGTGTCCCCTCCCGGTAGCGGAGGTGTCGCCCTGGCAACGGAACACCGGCGCGGCCGTCATGTTTGCCGGAAGTGACGTTTCCCGCTTCTCCTGAGGTGTCGCCCTGGCAACGGGGCCGTACCGGGGTTCGGGGGCGGCCATGGCGGGAGCGCCGCGCTGCGAGCTCTGCGGGGCCCGAACCGCCCCGCTGCGCTGCCCCGGCTGTCGCCTCACCTACTACTGGTGAGAGACACCGGGGGCAGGTCCAGGCGGTGGGATGAGGTGTAGGGCACAGGGAGCGGGCAGGAGACAGGGATTAGCTCCAGGGTGAGGCTCGGATCTCAGGCAGAAAGCTTGAGATAAGGCTTAGGATTCAGGATGAGGCCCAGGAAGGAGGAGGAAGGAACAGACCTGGAACAGGATGAGAGGCAGGCCTTGTCCCACAGCAAGGATGAGGCACGAAAGGCAGGAACAGGCACAGGACAAGGCTCAGGATGCATGAGAAGGGCCCGGAGGCAGGGATTGGCTCAGGACAAGRGCTGAGAGACAGGGCATGTGGTCTGGAACATAGGGACAGGGCAGGAGACAGGGATTGCCCCCAGGATGAGGCTCAGGGTAATGGAAGAAGGCCCAGGGTGAGGCACAGGAAGCAGGAACCAGCCCCAGGATGAGGCTCAGGACATGTGGAGAAGGCCCAGGATGAAGCATAGGAGGCCAGAACAGGCCCAGAACAGGGACAGAGAGATGAACAGAGCCAGGGATGTGGTCAGGGACACAGGCAAGAGGCTCAGGATTATCCCTGGGTTGAGGCTCAGTACACAGGGACAAACCCCATAAGGCCCAGGACACAGGGATGAGATCTGGTACAAGCTCAGCAGGCAGGGATGGGCTCAGGAGGCAGGGACCAGAGCTCAGATGGAGCCTGGAGAGGGCCCAGTGTAGAGTTCAGCCAGCAGGGCAGCAGGAACTGGAGTGGGCATGCTCACCTGGAATGTCCTTCTCCCTTCCTAGCAGCTTCTGCAACAGGCGAGGAGCAGAGACAGGTGCTCTGGWGTATCACACAAATATCCTTTACATGCTGTCAAAGCAGTCACTGAGTTCCAGAACATTCCCTGTTCCCACAGTGACCTGGTTGGTTTGGGGGTTTTGTTTCTTCAGTATTATAATCCAGGGATTTGCTCAAACCAGCTATATCAGGAGTTCAGAGGGAGATTTAAATAAGGATTTTAACACAGTGGACTGTGTGGACATGGCAGGACAGCACTGTGGAATGGAAACATTTGGAAATACCRTGTATTGGGTGCCCTGTAAGCAGCCCAGGGGCTGTGGGTAATTCTTGTGGTGAAACAGCAGGGAATAATCTTCCTTTATATCATATCCCAGCAAGTACCAGTATCCTTCTCTCCTTGTCTTGCCAGCGATGTCTCCCACCAGAGAACAGATTGGATCAGCATCCACGGCCATATCTGCCACCGGCTCATCCCAGTCCTCAGGCCCCAGCCCTGTTTCCGTTCCGAAAAAGACAGAAAATATGGCAAGGAGGAGCTGCTGAGGAGGCAGGTGGGTGCAGGAGGAACAAGCACCACTTCAGAGTGCTGCCAKGGAAGGAATTCCAACTCCTCTCCCTAACCTGGCTGTGCACGGTGGGACACACCAGGGGCAGACTGGGCTCACCTGGAATTTTCAGCCACACAGGAGTCTCCAAACCAGCCTGGGTTGTCACTGCCCAATTCCTATAAAACTAGAAGGAATTTCTTGCCTAAAACAAAATAGAGCTTTTGCCTTCTAAACCACCCCTTTAGAATTCCTCCCTCTGGATGCTTCCAAGGAAGAGAATGACACCTCCTTGGTTGATTTGGAACTTGGTTGCAGAGGTTTGGGTTGTTTTTTTTTTTAAACAAAACCTCAAGAATAAGGGGAATAGGAGCATCCTCTCTATGATTTCCAAGCCTCTGACCTTTTCCACTGTGCTTACTTGGTGTCCTGAGCTTCCTCAGGCAGCAGCAATCATGGATTTACCACCCTGCCAGCTTAGTCCACGATCCAGCTGAGTTTTGCTTCTTCCAAGTTGTTTGATGGGAGGGAATCCCCTTTCCCAGAGCAGAGGGGGCAAAGAAACCAAGTCCCTTCCCTTTGTTTTCCAGGCCAACTTGGAACACCCTTTCCCACTAACTGCAGCCTTTTATTTCCATCAGGCCTCAGGGAGGTGCAGATGTGCAGTTCCTTTCTAGCCCCAGTAGTTTGCAACTCCTTYTTTTTCTGTTTATGGAGTGGCAGGAGCTGCTGTTCCACATTGTTGCTAAAATAACCCACCTAGGTGCATCTGCTCCTGAAACTCTCTATGGAAATAAATTTTCCCTCTATAACAGCTCCCAGACACAGAATAATGGGGCAGCAGACAGTGGGCTGGGAACAATCCAAGGGTGCCACTAAGGAGAACATCCCAAATCTTTTGAATTTTACATGAATTATTATTTTTAAGGTGTTTCTGCCCCAGCTGTGGGATTTGGGGGCCCAGCTTGTTGCTGTCACCTTTCTTGGGAGCTTCCAGAAAGAGGAGGTCCAAAGGCAAAAGTCCTGCTTGGTGAGAGCTCGTGACAGACTTTAGGCAGCAGGTTCCTTTTGGTTTTACAGGAACTAGGCAATGACATCACAGGCTGGTTTGGAAACTCCTGGCTGGCTGAAAATCCCGGGTGAGACTGTGGAGCAAAGTCCACAGAAGGTGTGTCAGGCCAGTGGGTCCCAAAGGAAAAATGCAAAACCTCCTTAGTTACAGGTTCTGTTGAAGTAGTTCCTTTATAAAACCTGCAAGGAAGGTTACAATGCATGTCAATGGGTGTGGCAGGATTTTGTATCTAGAAGTGCTTGAAGCTGTTCCAAGAAACTCCCCAGTCATTGAACACCGATGTTGACACTGATTACATCACTGGCTTTATAGCAACTAAAATTATCCCCATACATTCCGACAGGCCACGTGGCTGCCAGCTGAGGGATGTGCTCCTTCATTAGCTGGAAGTTAATCAGCTGGTTTAATTGTGTGAAGGGAAAGACAGCAGGAAAGGTGGGGCTGGTAGAGAGAAAGTAATTTTATTGGGGTTCACACTGGGTTAGCAAACAGCAGCCTGGGTCTGGAGCCTGGGTTGGAAACGGTTCCATGAGCAAGGCAGAGAGAGCAGACTCTGGAGTTTTTTTTTGAAGAGGAGGTTTTTACAGGCTCCTAACCAATCCTTAACAACATCTGTTCTTTGACCTTTGTCTCCAGCCTATTTAAACACAAAAGATTCTAAGAACAATCTGTGCTTTGCTACAGTCTGGGACACTTTGCTATCCTTCTCTCCAAAGAAAGCAGGGAGACAGTGGAAATCCCTCYGTTACCTGCTGGCTTTCCCAGCAAGAGGGAAAGTCCCTTTGTGTCCAGCAGGGTTTGGAGCAGCCACACTGGGCCTGGGCTGCCTCAGRGGTGTTGGGAGAAGGGGAAATTATTTAGTGCCATGTCTCACTGGCTGCATCACATTCCTATTCCAGATCCAAGGAAAGTGCTTTAAAAAGTTCTTCTCTGTGAGGGTGGTGAGGCCCTGGCACAGGTTGCCCAGRGAAGCTGTGGTTGCCCCCTCCCTGCAAGGGTCCAAGGCCAGGCTGGATGGGGCTTGGAGCAGCCTGGGATAGTGGAAGGTATCCCTGCCCATGGCATGGGGTAGAATGAGATGAGCCTTAGGGTTCCTTCAACCCAAAGCAATCTGGGATTCTATGCAAAAAAAGACCGTTGGAGTTGAGGGAAAAGCTCTGCAGTGTCATGGTAACCAGAGAAAAAACCTGCCCAAAGCCTGCCCATGGGTTTGCTGCTCTTTGAACATTTCTGCTGCATTTCACCCACTCCTGCCCTGTGTTTGTTTAGAAAACACAGAGCTCCAGCCTTAGTCAGGTCACAGGGAAACCTGGGCACATCCAAATGCCCTGTGGCTCAAGGAGCAGGGAGCCAGTAGGTTTTATGAGTTTCATTCCTCTTCTGTGTGCCAATGCTTTGTTGATAGAAATCTGCTTCTGTCGATGTAGCCGGGGGGTGCCTGCAGACAGTACCTCCAAACTGACAGAACTCCAAGTTTCTGTTTGGAGAAGAACCTCACCTGCCTCCATGATGTCAGCTCCCCACAGCCCCTAGGCATGGGAAAAGATCCGAGACCAGCCAGCCCCAGCACTGCTCTGGCTGCTCCAGCTCACTGGAGCCTTCCCTGCTCCTGAAATATGCATTTCTTCAGACACACCGTTGGTTTTGCTGCCTGAGAGTGAATAATGGATGTGACATTGAACCCTGAGTGTGTTCCCAATCCCCTGCTCCCATCTGGAGCAGAGCTAGGGTCCTCAGCCCCCGCAAACCCCAAAAACTGCAAGGGGCCATTTTCAGAGAAGTTCAGAGAAACCTCAAATTGCAACACCCATGGAAAGAGCCCAAAGGGCCAGAGGTGAGGGGGAAACCAGGGCAGGGCCAAAGGGAACCATTCYTCCAGGGCTCTTCAGGGCCAAAGGGAACCATCCCCCAAGGCTTGGAATTGTGGCAGGAAATATTCACTGCTCCAGGGCTCCTCTTGCCTCCTGCCCTTCCTTTCCGTCCTGGATGCTGTACCAGAGCCCAACCCCCAGCTTGTCCTCACTGCAGATGTTTCAGGCCAGGGGAAGCAGCAATGATCCCATTGACAAGGAGTAAAAAAAGAATGATCCCAATCTCCAGCACCTCCCAGATGCCAATCTGAGTGATGCCCACAGACCAGGGCCTGCACTGGTTGCACCAGACTGTCACAGACAGAAAAAGCAGCCTGAGAAATACCAGCTTTTCCTGCTGCTACCCCAAGCATGTGCTGGTTTTCTCCTGGGCACCACCCTCTCCCTGGACACAGTTTGTGTTTCATAGAATCCCGGAAAGGTTTGGGGAAGAGACCTTAAAAGTCCATCTCATTCCACCCCTTGTCATGRGCAGGTAGACCTTCCACAAGA